TCTTTCCTCCCTCATTTCCACTTTCTCTAAAAATCAATGGGGAAAAAATCCTTGGGTGAAGATTAGCAACTACAACAACAATAAGATATGGAGGAAGAACAATGGAGATGAGAAAATAACTTGATGCATTTGCGGAACAGAGAGGAGACGAGTGTGGCTGAACCAGTGTCAGTGGGCAGGAGTGATGTGCAGCGCTAGGCTGGTGCTAGGTCATGGAAGAATTTCAGGTAAAGAATTTGGGTTTTCCTTCTTATCGTGATGGAAATCCATTGATTTTTAGACAGAGGAGTGACATCTGATTTATAGTGGAGCAGAGGAGAAGGAACCAGCAAAGGATCTACAAAGCAGCAATTAGTGAGGTGGGAGGATAATTGAAGCTCAGGAGAGAAGGGTGACAGGAATGAATGAGTGGCTAATTAGGCTAGTAATTGAAATGTCAAGGCAGATGATTGAAAAAAATGGCTGTTCAATTTGGAAACCGGTTGATGGCAACCTTTAGAAGAGATGTTTCAGTGGGATAGTGGGCAAAGATTAGGGTAAGGCAGTGGGAAAAGTAACAGTAAAAAACACAAAGTATTTTTCAGTGAAGAGGAACACACATTACGGGAGCAGCAGGAAGGTTAGTTGGGTAAACAGCCTTGTCCTTGTTTGGGTTGATAATGGAGACCTTCTGTAGAGATGGAGGCGTTGAAGATTCCAGAGGCGGCAGGTAGTTTTGGGAGAAAAGTCCTTGAAAAGTGGGAGGAGGCGAGATAAGGAACAGAACACACTGCCACACCTTTCTGAACAGAGGCTCTCTGTGTGCTTTCAAGGTCAATTGAGAGTAGAAATCTGCAAATTTTGCTGAGCATCATAGCTGAATTTGCTTGGCATGGTTCTAGTTTAATAAAAAAAAATCACATCATGCAAAACATGGCAGAAAGAAATCATATTCATTTGGGAAGAAATTGTAATTTACTTAAAAAATTTATCTTTCAGGTGCTGCAAGAAGACCTAGAACAGGAACAAGTCAGGGTCAATTCTCTCACTCACATGGTGGTGGTAGTCGATGAATCTAGTGGAGACCATGCAACCGCTGCTTTGGAAGAACAGCTTAAGGTCAGATGATTTCCTTTAATACACTAAATATGACATTTAAAATAATGAATTGCTCTTCAGAAAATAATTAGAAAGTTTATAATATAATTTGTATGTTACAGATATTTAGAGTGCAATATATATGTGTGTGTATGTGTGTATATATATATATTTATTTACTTATTTAAACTAATTCAGATTATGTCCCATTTGTACATAATTCCCTTTCATTAACTATATACTGTTTGCTCACACTGGCTTCCTGGCCTTTGGGGAAATGCATAAATGCAGATTCATTTTTTATTATAGCTGAATAACGTGTTATTAGAGAATTGATCAGCTGAATATTATTTATGCCTGCTTCAAACCTACAGTTTAAGAGGACAAAGGTAAAAAGAAAAAACCCACACAAAGTATCACATTCAATCAGATAACATAAATTGAACACCTTCAGTGTATTTTTTCCTGGAAGGCTTCTGTTGTAGTCTTGCTGAGGACATAGCAGGGTATCTGAGTCATGAAAGTTTTGTTGGAGTAGATACTTAGCCTTCCAAGCTCTCATTCACCTGAGTCATAGTAACTGTGTTCTTGGAAACATGACCAGTACATATAAACAAAGGATCATGTGGATATTGTGATGTTTTTTCTCCTCTTCCTAATTGGTAATAAGAAAGTTTTACTGTAAGAAAGGGAAAACAATTTCAACAAAGCATATATCCATACACAAAAGCATCATTAATACGGGAAAAATACAATTTATTGTTCTGAATGTGACATGTACATTCACATATATACACAACTACAGATTATAGTTGAGTATTCTTTGTACCCATCAAATACCTGCCTTTCCTTTGAGATAGGTGAGGGCCAGTAGTCTGACCTGTCTAAGGATGTAATCAATGTGGGTTTAAATAGCTTTATCAGCTCAAGGTTTTTCTAAACATAGTTTCTCTTACCACACTTATAACAATGTTTCTTAAAGCCTAATCTCTGTTTTGTTCTCTTTTTGTGTGAATTGAATTTTTTTATCCCAATGAAATGTCTTTTCCTCAGATTACTGCTTTAGATTGCCAATCTACAACGTTATCTCACTTTCCATTATTAAACAACAAAGAGAAAACTCTTGAACTGCTACAACTGAACATTCAATCTATACTAGAGACCCATGTTAATTGCTTATGTTTCAATGAAATTGCAGGAATTACAGATCTAAAAAGGCTTATGACACCTGATATTATAATGGATCATTAAATATACAATCAGATATATTGTGTACACACACACACACACACACACACACACTCATACTCATGACCAGCTAAAAGACTAGTGACAGGCCACTGCTGTACCCATTTTAAGGAATTCTGTCATTCTGATATAATAGTGTTATAACTAATTACCAATGGTAAAATTCTAATACTCATTGTGTCTCAGAAATTTTCAGAAAAGATAAAAGAAGGCTGGGGGGTGGAGGTTGGGAGGGTGACTGGTTAACAAAATTAAGGCAGAAATTGTTCTAAGTCAGAGAGTATTTCCCGTTAAAATAACAACTGAAAAACATCCATGTCACCAGACCTAGTACTACTAGTTTGGGAATATGTGGGTCTAGTCCACCTGGAAAAACAGTCTATAAAACTGACATGTGGACTGGGTTAGATCTGTTAACGTAAGGAATATTCAAACCTGTGAAGAATTTCTTGTGAGTTTATTTGAGCCAAACTGTCGACATGTGCCGGAGAGCAAAATCTCAAGGGATTGAAATAATGTTCCCAGAGAATGGCAGTTTTGCACCTTTCTTTATAGATTACAATCAAAGGGGGAGATGTAAGTGGATTACATGAGATCCATAGATGATAGATCAGGGAGGTGGGAGAAAGCAAAGTGAGGAAACCTCTGGGATTAGATCAAAAGTAAAATGATAGACACAGGCTTCTTTTACATAGGTGGGTACATACAGGATAGTTAACTGTCAACAGTTAACAAGATAACAGTAACAATGAGAGGATTCTGGTCTCTGCCTTTGTGCATCTAGGGGCTGAAAAAAGGGGAAATTACTTCATTTTACCAAAGCATGTGTTTATCAGGTGTGTTATCTCAGATGCAAAAAAACAATCATAGGCCCTAACTGGTTTTCTCAGTGGTTAGAACTTTGGCCCATAACTGACCGGTCCTGGATTCGATTGCGGCCAAGGGCACGTACCTCAGTTGCAGGCTCCATCCCCGAACGCGTGCGGGAGGCAGCCAGTAATTGTGTGTCTCCCTCACATCCATGTTTCTCTCTCTCTCTCTCCTTCCACTCTCTCTGAAAAGCAATGGGAAAAAAATATCCTCAGGTCAGGATTATAAAAATAAAATAAATAAAAAGGCGACAGGCTTAGTTTAAGGTGAAAATTAACCTTTGTGAAGGAAAAATACTGCCTTAGGGCGTGACTCCGCACCATAGACTGATTTTAGTGAAAGTATTAATTTCAGACCATGTTCTGCGGTTACTTTAGGTCTCTGAGTTTGCAAGGCCACCATGCAGGTCTTCCCTGAGCTTGTCAGGTTTAGCATGTGGCCCCTTTTTATCCACAGATCTTAGGTAAGGTTAAATTAAGAGTGGTGGTCCTAGGGTTTTCTATATTTTTATCCTACTTGCTTTTTTCATCTTGTTTTCTGTTTTTTTCCCAGATACATCTACTAAAATAGCTCTGCATGTACTGGCTATCCCTGATTCACACAACCTCAGTCTCCCCTTGTCCATGAATGCTTCCCCCCTTAATTAGCGTTGACCACTGCCTCCCAACCCCCCCTCCCCCCCACGATGTCCTTCCCCTTTGGATGCCCTCCTTTCCATCTACATAGCTCCTTGCTGTCCCTTTACTTTTAGATAATCTAGACTAGTGTATGAAAGGGCAGAGTTAGTAAGAATTAATTGGTGAGACAGCCCCTGCTTTAGCATTTCTTTCTTTTCAGTCCCTGAGGAATCCGAGGTTGAATTCTAGGCCTATTTAACCATGGCTTTGAATTGCCCCCTGATGCTGGGCTCTCATTTGCCTTTGAAATTCTGATGATTCTTTCATAGGCTCTTTGCAAATGAACCTGATCTTGTTTTACCTAGTTTCAGTTTTAAAAGGAAGGGGAGGAGGAAGAGAAGTTGGGAGAGGAGAGGAAAAGAGAAGAAATAATGAAGGATAAGACAGAGAAACATACATTGGAAGAGCCCCTTGAACAGCAACACAAATATCCTCTGCACGTGCTGAGAGTTCCATGTGTACGTCACAGACTGCGGACTGTCACATTCTCAGAGGGGTTCTGTTGGAGGTAACAGGAAGAGTTTGGGGAAAGAGAAACAGGTATATGAGCTTCATACAAGGGGGGGAAACTGCAGGGACCCGAGAAGCATCTTTGAGGGCTTTTATTAGAGCGAGGTTTGGTCATCCATAGCCATTCGCCAAGGTCTGATGGTGTTGAATGCTCACCCCACAAGTTCCTTCTCTGCCACGGCCTCCCATGTCACCTCACCGCCTTAATCAGCCTCTCTCGGGGTAGCCGAAGTACCACTGTAGCCTCAAAACGAATACCCAGTGGTCTTTAGTTGAGAGGTGCAGACGATGGGGAAAACTAGCAAAGGAAGTCCTTGATTTAGAATAAGAGAGAAATTGTTCTTTTCATTTTTAAAAAAAATTCTCACCCATGGTTCTGTTTTTATTGATTTTTAGAGAGAGAGGAAGGGGGGAGAGAGAGAGAGAGAGATCTGCCTCCCGTATGCACCACACCCAGGAATCGAACCCACAACCTAGGTATGTGCCCCTGACCGGGAATTGAGCCCCCGCAATCTTTGTGGTGCACGGGACGACGCCCCAACCAACTGAGCCACCCAGCCCGGGCTGTTCTTACCATCCTGCCTTAGAACTCCAACAGTAACTCTGCATAGGACATCTTGACATGTGTTGACTTGGTTCTGTGAACTCTGAGTTAGATTTTCTCTAACTTTGAATGACTTTTAGAAGTCTTCGTTTTAAAAGACTTGAAGAAAAACAAAGTTAGGTCAGACCATATGCTCAGGGATTCTGAAAGATGGCCTGGCTTTTGAAGGATAATATTCTGAAAGTGCAGTCTGTTGTAAATTAATTTGACTCTCTCAGCGGTTCAGCTTGTCCCCCAGCAGTGTTACCACTGGTCAGAAACTTGTCCTTAACTTTGAGGCTTCTAGGATGTCAATGGACAGAGAGCCTGATTTGTAAGCAGTGATGCCAATAAATAGTTTTATTGAGGAACAGCTTGGCTAAATAACTAAGATTGGTCATTTACGTGGAGCCCGCAGCCCTGGAAGACATCACCACACATCTCTTTCTAAGCATTCTGCATTCTGGTTTTCATTTTTTCCAATGAGCACTAGCTATGTTCTTTCTTTGTCCCAGGGATTGTGCTGGGTGACGGTAAGGCAGTGAGTAAAAAGGGACTTTGTCACTTCCTTCCCAGGTCAGAAATGAGTAATTTATGAACTGACTGCTCTTTTTGGAACCCTGAAACAATGGTAGCCATTTTTCAGGCTCCCTCTTTGAAATCAAATGCTGATTCCTAGTCATCTGTGGTGGGCTTGGTGACTGCTCTCTGGTAGCTGCAATCTAGTGGAAGAATTAAGCATTAATCAGGTACTTACAAAACTGAGCAAATATTTTAAAATGGACACAATTTAGTTCTGTGAAGGAAAGGAACAAGGTTTTGTGACAACAAAATTGAAATTTGAAGGCATGAAATGATCCCCTAGGAAAGTGATGTTTAAGCTGAGATTTAAAGCAGGGGTGGGGAACGTCTGGCCCGCAGGCCGTATTATTTGGTCTGGCTCTGCCTAGGCAACCGCAGGCAGGGCTCGAAATTCAATAAATCTAGGAGCCTTTTTCATAGCTAATTTTTAAGTTGATAATTTTGTATGACCAGCAAATGATGTTATAAATATCCAAGTGGCCTTTGGCAGAAACAAAGGTTCCCCACCTGTGACCTAAAGGATATGTTGGAGGGAGCTATATAAAGTGTGT